TAAAGAAAAAAAAGAATCAAATATTGACTTATAGGAAATTTTCTGGCTGAAATTCAAATCCAATAAATATTTACTAAGCACTTATTATGTTCAAAGCTCTATAGTATTGACTAGAAATTTGGCTGCAAATGTAGTCTTTAAGGGAGCTTAGCATCTCTCTCTTCTCTCTCTCTCTCTCTCTCTCTATCTATTTTATCCATCGGTCTGTCTGTAAAATAGCAAAAAAAAATATTTACTTTGTGCCAGGGATATTCTACCACTGAGCTATATCCTTAGCAGCCCTTTTTTACTTTTTAAATTTAAGAAAGGTTTTGTTACGTTGTCCAGGCTGTTCTTGAACTCATGATCTGCCGGCTTCAGCCTGTGCAACACTACATCTGGCTAAATAGTTTAAAATAGCACCATAATTCTCTTGAATGAGCTGATTAATTTCCCTGAAGAGGAACTCATCAATCTTTTTCTTGAGGGATATGGCCTGCATTTTCAGAGCTTAATGAGAGAAAGGGGTTGGGAGCTTCATGTGTTCAGTGTGCAGCGTTCCACACTCTTCCACCATTTTAGTTTACAACAGTGCCACTTTTAGCTTTGCTTGGAGCACAGAACCCCTCCACTTTGGCCCTCCTGAAGCAAACCCATTCTCTTCTTATCCTTTGTTTGCTGGGAGGAGGGGACCTGGAACTGTGTTCTTTTTACATTTTTTTCCATGGAACTCTACTCTTGACGCAGAAGTTAAAAAAATCGGCCTGTGTCTGGCCCCTGCCCCATCCCACCTGGGAGGTAGCTTTTGTCTCTTATTATTTTTTTTCCTCATTGAGATTATTGGTACATTTTAGGCATACAATACAGTTACATTCGCCATTGGGAGCTTGTACACTTACATGACGCATCTTGGTTCTTATTTTTTCCCCATTCCCCTGCCCTCCCTTCAAACCTCCATCCCTCCCTACTTACAAAGACTTTGCTTCTGTTTTTTCCTTTCCCTTCTTTCCTTTACCCTACCCCTCCCCTTCCGCTACCCTATTTAGACCTTTTCTTTCTATTTCACGGTTTCAATTATACATCTTGATCCTTATTCACACTTTTAGTTTCTCACACCAGAGTTTGTCTCTTATTCTGGAAACTTTCTTATGTATCTGTTTCCCAGCTTCCAAAATTTGTTAATATTAGTAGTGTCATTTCCTTTATCAGAATTCTTATCATTTTGGATTTCTTAGTGCTTATTCTTTAACTTTAACAATCTGGGCTTTTGGAAAAAAGGAGAAGTAATTCTTTTTTTTTCCTCATTGAGTTTATTGGTACATTTTAGGTATACAGGACATTTGCATTCATCATTGGGATCTTGTACCTTTACATGACAGGTCTTGGTTCTCATTTTTTCCCCTTGTCCCTGCCCTCCCTTCACCCACTCCTCCCCTCCCCATTTACAAACATTTTATTTCCAGTTTTCATTTTCTCTTATTTTTTTCCTTTCCCTTATTACCTTTCCCCTACCCTTCCCACTTGCCCTACACCTTTAGCCCTTTTCTTCCTATTTCACATTGTCAATTATATCATTAGGATCTTGTGTACTATTATAGTTTTTCACACCAGAGAAACTATTCAGTATTTACACATGTGTGACTTATTTATTTTACTTGGGAGTATATCCTCAATATGTATCCATTTTCCTATGAATGAATCTAATTTCTCATTTTTTTTTTCTCATTGAGTTTATTGGTACATTTTAGGGATACAGTACAGTTACATTCATTATTGGGATCTTGTACCTTCACATGACAGGTCTTGGTTCTCATTTTTTCCCTTTGTCCCTGCCCTCCCTTCACCCCTCCTCCCCTCCCCAAAAGGAGAAGTAATTTTTTTTTGTACAAAAATATGTACAATTACCTAGGTTTAATCCTTTGAGATCCTTGAACAAAGCACGGTCTTATATCTCTTCCACTTTGCTCTCAGATCACTGTGCGCTGGTCAGAATGGTTCTTGGTGTAGTGTGCCATGATCTCTATTGATCCAGTGAGGAGTTTCATATTCTACAAGTCCTTCCACATTCCGGATCAGAAGCGCACGACATTGTTCTGTGGTACCATGCCACCGTGGTCTTGGTACATTGGCCTTGCAGGAGTCTGGGCTCCAGGTGCTGTATGGAGAGCTGAGGCACACATGTAAGTAACTATAACAGAGCAGTGGCCCTGTTTTGTACACTGTGGATCGATGCTGTCAGTGATGCTCTGAGCGTTCAACAACCAAATAGCAGACTTCTCTGTCTTGGCTCAAGCAAAGTGACAGAAAGGCCTGAGATTTAATACCCTGGATTCCATGGTCAAGTGACCCAGACCAAACTGTGGCTCTGGGAGGTGTACAGATTTCACTTAAGTCATTTAATCTTTTGGTGCCTCTGTAAATCTTTTTCCTCTGTAAAATGGAAATAATGAGAGTAGCTCTCTTGATTGACTGTTGTAAAAATTAGAGGACCATACTTGCAATGATATATACTTATTTAACGAATTAGTAAAACACACTCTGTACACAATATACAAGCTGCACGTACACACACAGACACAGACACAGACACACACACACACAGAGTTTAAAACAGTGTGATGAGTAGAAAAGCACTATTTAACTATTTGTGGTTGTCTTCAGATTTCCAAGTGTCTGCTATAGCTTTTGCTCTTTCACTGCATACCATAACTCCTGTTAAGTGATCATTTTTTTAGCATGTTCTTTCATATGGATTTCTATCCTATAGGACAGTATGCTCTGGTAAAAAAGGAAGATTTGATATTGTAATGACTACTAAGAGTTAGTGACTTTTATTTTGATAATTTCCTGTAACTGATTATTATGGTTAACAGTTTAGCTCACAGTTGTTTCGGGGGATGGTTTGACATTTGTAAAACTCAGTAGTTCCAGGAATACCACTTAAAAGCCCACAGAGTGTCCTTGTTATAATATGCCAAACAACATAATGGATGTCTGGCACAGACGTGGAAAGAACAGAGATTTTTCTTTGTGCTTTCCAGACCCTGGTGGCCTTTCCACTTTTCACTACTGCAAGATGATCAGTTATTTACAAATAGAGTATAGTATATGGCATTCTATGTTTATGCTGTGTGCAAAAGTATCAAAAGGGGGGAGCAGAGAGAGAGAGAGAGAGAGAGAGAGCAAGGTTATTATATTGTTTCCCTGATTTCATAATTCTGGCCGTTTTATTTAGGCAACATGCAATAGAGACTTAAAAATATTGAAAATTTCTTGGTAATCTTATGAAAACATACATACATTTCCTAAATTCTTTATTGAAAGAGAAAGCAGATCAGGGACTGGGGCAGTGAGCAAAAGGGAGTCACTGCCAAATGGATGCAGGTCTTATTATGGGATGGTGACAATGTTCTGAAAGTAGATAGAGGTGGTGGTTGCAGGCACTGCGAAAATACTGATGTCACTGAATTGTTTACTTTAAAATGGTTAGTTTTATTTTATGTGAATTTTACTTCAATTAAAAAAATGCAAAAGAGAAACGAAACTTCCAAGTCTCAACTTTTTCAGCACTTGGCCTCATAAAACAGCAGTCCATTTGCTTTAAAACAAAACAAAAGACCCTTAAATCATAGGAGAATACTCTTGTTATCCTTTATTTCCCAGTGCTGAAGAATGAACCCAGGGCCTTGCACTGCTAGCAAGTCTTCTAACACTCAGCCACAACCCCAGTCTTTTTATTTTATTTTTTGACACAAGATCTTGTTGAACTGCCCAGGCTGGTTGCAGCCCACGCAGTAGCTGGGATTACAGATCTGCACTATTATGCCCATTTAATCTAGTTATTCTTTAACCTTTAAAACCGTTAGGCATGTTTATTACTTTTCAGAAAGAGCACGACACATTGCCCACTTGTGAGACCTTGTGACTACAGATTTTTGCCACAGGGACTGTTAGCAATCCTATTTTCTCATGTCATCTGTATAGCCTTTGTATGCCAGTAAAGATATTTTGATCTCTATGAGGATAGATTTGACTATACCACTATCTTCTCTTCAACTTGGCTGATAGTGACGTGGATTCTAATAACTCACCATCTATATTTTTGGGGTTGCTATTGTTTCTCTCCTCCATTATGTTCTGAGTATGTATTTGTTTAATTATGAAAGTGTAGCTCAGCATCAATGGGATTCATGCTCTTGGTGTGGAGGTCAAATAGTGTCCTTTCCTGCAGCAATATGTACATTGTAAAGGTGGGTTATATTTGATCACTTCATACTTAATTTATGAAATGATATAGTAGTTCATACAAAAGCTTTTAGTCACTAACATTTAAAAAAAATCTTTTAAGCCCTGTGGCTTAGGATCCTTGGACATGGAAAATGGTACTATGCAGAATGTTTTTATTTTATGTAGTTCTACTTTAATTGACATATATGGTACAGAGTGATACCTTCATACATGAAAAAAATGTATAATGATGACATCAGAGTAATTAGTATTTCCGCTTCCTTGAACATTTCCCATTTCTTTGTGCTGCAAACCTTTAAGTGCTTCTTTTCTAGTTCTTTATAAAATATATATTTTTTTGTGAACTACAGTATTACACTAATGGCTTTTGTAACCAACCTAAGGAATTGTGTTAAATTGACATTACTTTCTCTTTTGGTTTAGTTGAAAATAATTTCAACTGCTGGGGGAGAAACAGATATTTTGCCAAAGTCCTGGAGCCACAGTCCACGTGAGAAAGAGAGTATGAACAGTTAAGTCTCAACTGCCTGCTCACCCAGGCCACCTGGGCTTAAATCCAACTTTGCCACCTCCTGGCTGTGATTTTTAATAAGTACTCATTACTGGCATAGAGGGACAATATATTTGAAGTCTTCCACTGAAAATATAGGCAGTAATTAATATACATCAAAATAGTCTTGCTGTTGACTGGGAAGAATGGGAGAGTAGGCTTTTAAAAAACAATCTGTTTCCTAATATCACCACTTTACTTTATTCTTTGTTCTTCAGCATTATAATGGCAAGATAGAACTTGCAGTGGGCATTCTGTGACCTTGAGTAAAAAAGTAACTCACCAAAAGGCACGGCAAAAATACAGAGGAACCTGAGTCTTCAGTAACACAGCAGTTCTGTAGAGCTTTCTGAAAGACTTGAGGCATGAAGTAAAGAAATTCCTCTCAGGTAAGTTAGTACCTGCTACTTGCTGCAGAGTGTGGTAGCAACTGAAGTTATTTAGGGTACCTTAGTTGCATTAATAGAGATGTCATCATTTAATTCCATGAGTGACTCTAATGGTGGACATATTGAGAGACTGACAAGGCATGGCCTTCATCTGGTGGCTGGCTGCTGAAGGAGATAACTAGCTCCCTGACTACTGACCTTGTTGTTGCTTCATAATATGGTTGTATTCCTTGCTGAAACTGGAAATAAGAATTCAGTTGAACATTTACATGGAAAATATTACAATACATTTTTTCCACAGAGAAGGTTGAATATTGAAGTGACACTTTTTTTTTGTTTTGTTTTGAGACAGGGTCTCACTATGTAGTTGAGACTGACCTGGAACTCATTATGTAGCCCGGGGTGGTCTCGAACTCACAGCGATCCTCCTGCCTCAGCCTCCTGAGTGCTGGGATTACAGGTGTGTGCCACCACGCCCGGTGAAGTGACACTTTTAATTAGGATATTTAGCCTGGTCAGTAGGAAGTACATTCCCTTCTAGTTGATGACATTAAAATGCAGTGTTCCCATTCTCTATGCTTATTTTGTAGCAGTAGATCTGTCCTATCAGTTCCCCTTCCACTGCCTGGTGTCATACCAGTCACTATTTGGCATCAGAGTTTCCATTATGCTGTAAGCCTCCTTCTTTTGGGTGAAAGGATAGTTTCTGCTCTATATAACACAAAGGCTTTTCTTAAAGTTTTTTTTTTTGCTTATGTGGCAATAAAACTTTGACCAATCCAGACTTTATTGGTTCCACTTATTGTTTTAGAAATGGTCTGTTGCTTGGTAAGGGTTCACATTAATCTTAGACAAGTGAAGCTTTTAGTATCTGGATGTCTTTAGCGCTTTAATCGTCTAATCAAATGGTGGAGAGAAAACTGATTATACCTTCTAGACTGGATAAAATTAGGAGTCCTATGGTTTTCTCATGGAGTCTTCCTCTTAGAATTGTCTCTTCTCTTGGCATTTTCTACACTTTCATTATTTATCATCCCATATATTTTGCTATATATTGCTATATATTTTATTATAAAAAATGAGAATCAAGTAACTGAATTTCTAATTATTTTCATTACAGTGTTTTGAATACCACACACAAATGTCCTTTTTTCTTTTGACTTTTCATTTTGTTAATAAAGCTCTAGCAATCAAAACATTATAACAGCATAAATATAGTTATATATGCCTATTACAAAAGATGCTATTCAACAGAATAGAAAGCCCAAAAGTAGACCGGTACATATATGGTCTAGTTATATTCAACAAGAGTACTAAAATACATAGAAGAGAATGGATAATCTTTTCTATAAACGATACTTGAAAACTTAGCTACATGCAAAAGATGAAAAATAAAAAAGAAATTACATCCTTATAATAGACTTACATGAACTAAAATTGGAATAAATACTTAAATGTTAGAAGCAAAACTGTTAAATCCTAGAAGAAAATGTGAAAATAAATCTCCATTTTATTTGACTTGCTATTGATTTTTTGAGGGGTATGGTGCCAAGTGAATAGGCAACAAAAGTAAAAAATATAGAATGAAACTACATAAAGTTAAACAGCTTTTGCACAGCCTAGGAAAAAATTAAGAAATCATAGATAATGTATTGATCTGAGAAAAATACTTGAAAAACATATATTCAAGAAGTGGTTATTATTTAAAACTTATATTGAACACATTTATTGTCTTCTATCTTCTGTCATAAGTATTCTGCTATATTTCTTTATAGTTCTATTATCAATATATTCACAAATAATTGTTTTTGAAATTAATAGAAGTGCTTTAGTAACTTCTTTTGCATACACAGTTATACTTAACAATATAAGCACAGTGATTCATGAAAAATCTTTTTTATTTTTACTATTGCATAATATTTTGTAGTACTAATTTTTTTCAAATGCCACAATTATTTAATAAATTTATCCAACTTTATTAAAGTGTAAGGCACAATTTGCATAATGTAATATATTCATGTAAATATATGTTGCACAATGATTGCAACAATCCAACTAACATATCTATGACCTTGCATTTTGCTATGTGGTGAGAGTTTTTGTAGGATATCTGTGGTGTTTGTAGTAAGGTTTGCTCCAGTTTATATGCCCAGTAGCAGTTTATATGGGCTCTTTTCTCTCCACATCCTTATCAGTGCTTGTCACCTTTTGCCTTAATTTTGTTTTTTTTGGGGGGGTACCGGGGATTGAGCTCAGGTCCTTGAGCTTGCAAGGCAGGCCACTGAACCGCTGAGCTAAATCCCCGGCCCTTTTTTTGTTTTTGTTTTTTTGTTTTGGGTACCAGGGATTGCCTTCTTAATTTTGTAAGGAAGGTGCTATCTCATTGAGTTACTAATGTCCATTTCTCAGATAAACACTGGTATTGACCATATTTACTTATACTTGATCTCTATTTTTATGTCTTTCTTGGAGAAAATTACATTGAAGTCCTTTGCATATTTTTATTGATTTTTTTTCAAAATTTTGCTCTTTTCTGATTGAAATTGTCTTTTAAAACATAAGGTAGGGCTGGGGATTTAGCTCAGTGGTTCTGCTGCCTGCCTCGCAAGTGCAAGGTCCCAAATTCAATCCTTGGTACAAAAAACAAAACAAAACAAAAACAAAAACATAAGGTAATTGCTCTAAAGCCAGCAAAACTCTTGATTCTATATTAATGTCCCTTTTTTTTGCTATTTAAACTTAACATGAACTTTTTTCTGACCAGAAATTTTTTGCTTTTACAAGTTTTGTTCAGCTTGCATTTAGCTCTCCTTCTTGTTTCTGCTTTCTGTCCATCAATATGATGTAGAGCTATTGGAGAGAACATAATGAACTATCCTGGGATTCAGAGAGTCTGTATTTTAACTTGTTATGCCTTCCTATTTTGACAAGGTTTTTGTATGTGCAACATGGATTATGGCACAAATGTACAATATGTGATTTTTACACATTTGATTAAAGTTAATTTTCTGTTATGGAGAAATCTCAAAGTAGTTGCATTTGGCAAATGCTCAGGCTATGGAGTGAATTCTTTTGAATGTGATAAGAAAGCTATAGTGTAAGCTATAGGGTTTCCAATTATCATTTTTAAAAGCCCTGGGAAACAGATAGATGGCTTTCGGTGCTTCTTCTGTAGTAAGGACATTTCAGAATTATTTGCTGGGATCCTCATATTTTCAAGTTGTATTAAGTATTACCCTTTTAATCTTTTCTGGGCCACCAGAGTGCTCAGGTTTCTGAATGTTAGAGAAGAATTAGCCATTTATATTTATTTAACCTATTTTGAATACCATTTTTTTGTATGTGCTGTGATTGTGATATTCTTGAACTCATATATTTATGTCATTCATATTTATCACTAAAATTTTTCCTTTAAAATAATATATTTTAATTATGAATGCAAAATACAATAAAAATTTAGGCAAATAAAGTGAAGAAAAATAAAATTCATCCTTAATCCTACTAGAGATAATATTGAATTTATTGTAAAATCTTATAATGTATGATATACTATAATACATGCTACATAGTATTAGGAAAGATGTGATCAATTTCTCATTTCTTATTTGATAGGATGCATTTTATTAGTCACTATTTATTTTTAATCTATCATTAAAAATAAGACTTTATTTCTTTGATAAAAAGAATATATGCTAGTATAGAAAAGTAAAAAATACAGGTAATTTCAGTGCAAAACCAACTATTGGCATAGCTATACAGTGATACATATTTGATATCATGTTAGTTTATATACTTCTAAGCTTTAAAAAAATGAGTGTATACGAATATATCAATATATGTGTACATTTTCTAAACAATATTGTAATTTAGATTCTTTTCATGTATTTTTACTAAATTGTATTGACACATTTTATGTTTATATACATCTAAATCATAGTTTTTAATGGCTACACAATAACATTGTTGTATAATTTGCCTTATGTTGAACAGTGGATAGTATTTATATTTCTGCTGTTTTGTACATTGCCTCTGATGGACTTGGCTTAACACATTTCAAAGCTTGCTCAACTTTTGCAGGGTACATTGTAAGCCTTTTGATAGTGACTACCAAATTTCTCTTGAAAATATACTAATTGACACGCAGTAGCAAGTGGAGCCTGTTTCCACACCCTCCACACCCTCAGACCACTGGATTTTTCAGCCACAGTGCCTTTAACTGTAACTAACGGGAACCAGGACATGGCATGGGTCCAAGTGGACAGCTTATTTCCAAGTCTTGAATCTGTCACTCACTAGCTGAAAGAAATGGAATCCATGAAACAGATTCAAACAGATATCTAGGAGTTTAAAAACTATTGAAAGTTTACATAACAGACTGAGTCAATCTGAAGAGAGGATAGAGGTCAGTGACCATGAAAAGAAGGATCTCTTCAAAATAGTAAGGGAACAAGAGAAATCAATCCCAGAGCTCCTAGATCATACAAAAACAATAATATAAGACTGATAGGAGTCCATGAAGTGGCGAGAGAAAGTACAAATGGCATTAAAAAAAACAAAACTGTTCACAGAATTAATGACAGAAAACTTCCCAAACAGAGCAAAAGCATTTGACATACAGATAAGTGAGGCATATAGGACTACACTAGCCATGATAAAAAAAA